GATATTCCATGGAGTGGAATTTGGGATTTGGGATTTTTGGGATATTCTGGGCTGGGATTTGGGATTTTTGGGATTTGGGATTTTTGGGATATTCCTGGGGTGGGATTTGGGATTTTTGGGATTTGGGATTTTTGGGATTTGGGATGGGGGTGGATCCCTCATCCCGGAGCCGTTTGGGAATTCCCGATCCCGCGGGATCAGCACCGGGGGGGGATTGGGGCCGGGAGGAGCCGGAGCCCAGAGGGGAAATCTGGGATCGGGATCGGGATCGGGATCGGGATTGGGATTGGGATTTGGGATCGGGATCGGGATCGGGATTGGGATTGGGATTTGGGATTGGGATTGGGATCGGGATTGGGATTGGGATTGGGATTGGGATTTGGGATCGGGATTGGGATCGGGATCGGGATCGGGATTTGGGATTGGGATTTGGGATTGGGATCGGGATTGGGATTGGGATTGGGGTTGGGATTGGGATTGGGATTGGGGTTGGGATTGGGGTTGGGATTGGGATTGGGGTTGGGATTGGGATTGGGATCGGGATTGGGATTGGGATTGGGATCGGGATTTGGGATTAGGATCAGGATTTGGGATTTGGGATTGGGATTTGGATTGGGATTGGGATCGGGATCGGGATTGGGATCGGGATTGGGATTGGGATCGGGATCGGGATCGGGATTGGGATCGGGATTTGGGATTGGGATTTGGGATCGGGATCGGGATTGGGATCGGGATTGGGATTGGGATCGGGATTTGGGATCGGGATTGGGATTGGGATTGGGATTGGGATTTGGATCGGGATTGGGATCGGGATTGGGATCGGGATTGGGATCGGGATCGGGATTTGGGATCGGGATTGGGATCGGGATTGGGATTGGGATCGGGATTTGGGATCGGGATTGGGATCGGGATTGGGATTGGGATCGGGATTTGGGATCGGGATTGGGATTGGGATTGGGATTGGGATCGGGATCAAAGCTGGGATTGGGGTCAGGGCTGGGATTGGGACTGGAATTGGAATGAGGATCAGGACTGGAATCGGGACCGGGATCGGGGCTGGAATCGGGATCAGGATTGGGATCAGGGTCGGGATTGGGATCGGGATTGGGATCAGGATTGGGATCGGGATTGGGAATGGGATTGGGATGGGGATTGGGGCTGGAATTGGGATCAGGATCGGGATCGGGACCAGGATCAGGATCAGGATCGGGATCATGGTTGGGATCGGGATCGGGATCGGGATCAGGATCAGGGTCGGGATCACGGTTGGGATCGGGATCGGGATCTGCTCCGGGACCGCTCCCATCTGTCCCGACTCCGCCCCATTCCCGGGATTTTCCCCCCCGGGATCATTTTTTGGGAACGTTTGGGACCCCTCGGAAAGCCCCAAAAGTTCGGGATGGGCGGAAATGATTCCCGGAATTCCGGCAGATCCAGGATCTCCTCTCCAACCAGGAGCAGCAGAAACCCGCCGAGGCCGAGCCCGGCGCCGGCGACTCCGGTACTCCCGCGGGAATTCTGG